TTTTGTTGTTGTTTCGTAAGATTTTATCGATTTAAAATTAAGTTATTAATTTACTTTAGTTTTTCGATTAAAGAAAAAAATAAATAAATAAATTTTTTCTCTTTGAATTAGTTCGACGAAGGAAAAAACAGAAAAATTTAATAAAAATTTATTGGGGTTTGTCTCTTTTTATTTTTTTATTTTTTTGTTACAGCCTGTAGAAAAAGAAAAAAAAATAAAAAATGAAAAAAAAAGAAAAAAAGAAATGAAAGAAGGAGAAGGAGATAAAGAAGAAAATGTCGTCGAAGGTGGCGAAGATGGAAATATCGAAATATTAGAAAAACAATTGAGCACGGATGGCGAATTGGAAAAAAGTACGGATGAGGATTTAAGCGCGGATTTATTACAATTAATGGTTCCAGTTGCTAACGACAAGTGAGTCATATTTAAATTTTATCGATAGATCGATCGATCGATCGATTGATTGATTAATGACCGGAAGTACGAACGAAACACGAAGAGGGAAAATATTATTAGAATAAAAAAAAAAATTGCGTTTTTTTTTTGTTGCTTCAAAAACGGAAATTGTCATTTTTCTCTCTTTTATCAAAAGTTATCGATAAGAATTGAAAAATTTTTGTTTGAATTTTCCGAAAGTTTTTTTCTTACAATCAACAATCGAAATAAATTAAACAAGAATTTTTAACCGATGTGGAAAAAACTTTTACTTTTCTTAATGACGTTGTTTATTTTTTTATTTTTGTTTTTTGGGGGACGAAGCGAGGCGGGGGGACGTTTTAAAATCCTTTGTTGTTAGGTTAATGAAGAGCTCAAAGTATTTAAAAATGGTTTTAATTTCGACTTGTGAAAATTTACTTTGAACTTCTTTATTTAAATTTTCCCGATTAAAAAAAAAAAAGAAAATTTTTTTTTTTTTTTACTTAACCGAAATTTTAAGTTTTCCTTTTTCTTAAATTTTGTTCGATATTTATATACATATAAATCTTCTTTTGAAATTTTCTTCTTAACTTTGAAGATTTCGCCGGAGGAGATTTTACTTTTTATTTTTTGTTTTCTTTTTCCCATAATGTTAAATTACATCTCTCTCTCTTTCTCTCCTCCCCCCTACCTTCTCTTTTCGTTGCCGCAAATTTAATAAAAAAAAAAAAAAATTAAAACGAAAGAAAAGTTATAATTTTACCGTTTTTGTGTTTGCGGGAAAATAAAATAATTTTGCATTTATTATTCGAACCGAATAATTCTGGAAAATGTACAATTGAATGAAAACGCGCGCGTTTCACGCGTGTAATAATTACGCGCACGTTTTTATTTGCAATTTTAAGAGAAAAAATGCAGTATAATTAAGTAAAGAGATGTATAAGTCGCAGGTTTTACGGGGGGAACCCACGCGCGTTTTTATTTATTTTGTTACGCGCGTTTTACACACTTATCACTCTTGTAACTTAGGGCAAACATTCAGTGAATAATCAGTATGCAGTTTAATGTGTATGTTTTTTTTTTTGTTTCTTATTCAGGTCTGGAGATCGTAGGACGTCATCGTTAGGAGACACCACAGACGATGATTTGGACGAGGATGAATATCAAACGGGTTGGGCGTCTGACGTCATACATTTACCACCATCGATCGAAGTCGAAATAAGAGTTCACAAAGGAACGGAACCTTTAGGTACGACAAATTAAGAATAATCAAACGTGAATCATCGTGACCGAACAATCAATGGTTAAAATTAATGAAAAAAAAAACTTTTTTTCAGGTATAAGCGTGGATTCCGTAGACAGAGGAGTTAACGGAATGTTGGTTGTTTTGGTTGTACCCGGAGGAGCAGTCGCACGTGATGGTCACATACATCCGGGTGATTACCTCGTGTCCGTAAATCACGAAACATTAAGAAAAGTTACCAATTCTCAAGCGCGTGCCATATTACGAAGAGCACAACTTCTTTCGACTGATATTAGGTATTTTCCATTTTTTTCTTTTCTTTTCTTTAAAAAACGTTATCGAGTATTGAAGCCCCACAGTCAATTGACACTGTTGAGAAACCTTAAAAAATTTATTCAATCCAATTAGAAAGAGAGAGAGAAAAAGAAGAAGGCAGTTCAGTACGATTTTGTCGCCAAATGAGAAAATTTGTCAAATTCGAGTCGATTTTTTTTTTTTAAACTAAAACTTTTGACATAAAAATTTCTTTTTTCGCATTTCTCTTGTTGTCAGTTTGTGCGTGACGTCATATAAAAAAAATGATGATGATGATAATAAAATGTGTTTATATGTGACAGTGTTACCTACATACCCGAAGAAGCGGCTGCTGCTTACAGGAAATCGATAAGACAAGATTCTCATTCGTCTGTTAGATCTTCTCCCGTAGCTGCACTTCGTCACACGTCTCCAAGGTAAAAAATAATAATAATAATAATAATAATATTAATAGTAATAAAACACGAAGTCATAAAAAATTTTTCAATTGAAAATTTATTTCCGGAAAAAAAAAAATCAAAAAAGAAAAATTGTTTCTTTTATTATTGTTGTTATCACCATATTTTGCTCTTATCTAATTGCACTTTTTTTTAAAATTCACGTTTGCTTTAAAACTTATTCTATTTAGTTGAATTACTCTATGATTTCTCTGACGTAAAAGCAAAAAAAAATTACGAAAATTATTAATTAGTTTATTTATTAATTTTATTTACTTAAAAATTTTTTTTTTCTTACCACACTTATCAAGGGTTGTTTAAACAAAAAAAAGTAGTTGCAAAACTATTTTATTATTATTATCATCATTTTATTAGATTCAAATTTGCTTTTGCACTTAAATTGATTCTATATTTAAAGTACTTGCAATTTTTTTTGGTTTCTTAGATATTATTATTATCATCATTTATTTGTTTTTTGTTTTTTTTTTGTTTACACTTTTCTATTTTATCATTTGCAATCCGAATTCCAGGATATTTCCACGTTTTTACCGGTAAGAATTTTAAACAAAAAAAAAAAAAGAAAAAAAATTTTTTTTATTTAATTTGCACGTAAAAAAATTATTGTTTGTGTTATTTGATGATGAATTTATTCACCCGGAAACCGAAGAATCCGCATCGAAGAAGAAAAAGTCATAGAGAAGAGAAAAAAACGAGTTCGTTAATCGATTTCCGGTTTTTAAATGATTTTTTTTTATATGTTCGCCGTGAATATAATATATTTTCAATATGTATTGTTATATGTTGTATGTTTTTTTTTTTTTTTTTTTTTTTTTTTTAATTCGTGCACGAAAAATTTTTAACTTCAGGTCTCCTTACATACCGTCCGACAGCAGTCTCGAATCATCCGAAGAAAGAGAAAAAGAAATACGGAGTGCCGAGGATAAAATTTTTGGTACGCCAGAGAAAAAACTCGGAGTTCGGAGTGATTGCGAGTCGTTCAAAGAAGAAAACAACGAATTGCTCAAGAGTTTAAGTATATATTCGAGTTCCGGGGAAGCCTTTACGAAAGAAAAAAAAGGCAACGTGTCGAATGATGATGACGACGTATCGTCATTTAAAAGAGACTCGTTGCCTTGCGTCGAAACGCCTTACAATCGCGAATCAATCAAAGACTTTGTTGTGAATAATAAAAATTACAAGAAATTATCACAGACTAAATCCGTCGATAGAACGGATGCCAAACAGGGACCCCTGTCCGTTTGCGTCGTGGACGGTTTATACAGTGTTCAAAGTCGAAAAGGAAATAAAGTTCTCGTCGGAATTGAATTGAGCAGAAAGGATAAATTTCAATCATCGGAATCGTCGGGGAAAGTCAAAGATAAAAAAGGAGGAATTGCGACGTCGACGATAACGACGACGACGACTACGACTACGACTACGGCTTCCGTAAGTTCGAGCAAGAAAAAAGATGATGATAATAATAAGGGTGAAAGTGAAATGAAATTAAACAACGATACGATTAATGTTGATTATCTAAACGGTAAAAAGGTTAATAAAAAACTTATTAGCGGTAAAAGTTTGCCGGCCGTCGAAGTTTCATTGGACGGTAGAACTCAAAGAAAATTATCTCCGGTAAAAGACGAAAAAGAGATTTATCATTTGGAAAAAGCGAGCGGAACCATCGGGGATCGCGATAGTTTCATACAGGGTTACGAAGACGAAATACAAAAAGAAATCGAAGTAAGGGTCGAAATAGTCGAAGTGAGTGAAGAAAGTGCCGATGAACTGACTTGCGAAAAAGTCGAGAGAACGATCGATGGAAAAAAATCGAAGGATTTCGATGAGAAAGACGATAATAAAAAAATAAAAATTTGTCATCACGTGGAAAAAGAAAAATCGACGTCGGACGGTGCGGAGAGTCGTGGAAATAAGGAAGAAATAAAACGTAATAAAACATTAGAGGAAAAATTTTCGGAGAAAGACGAAAAAGTAATAAAAAGTGATACGCAAAGTTTTGACGTAAAAGAAAATTACGATGATGACAATAAAAATCGTGACGATGACGATGATGACGAAAAAGAAAAAAATAAAAAAAATTTAAACAATGGTGACGTCGGTGATGATGACGTCGAGGGTGGTGACGTAGATCGAGAAGGTTCGTCAAATCTATCGAATGATTTAAAAACAAAGAGGAAAATAATACAAACTCGGTTGCCAAGTTTCGAGTGCACTTGCGACGGAATTTACGACGATGCCAGTCCCGAACGGATTTGCACATGCGTTTCTCCTTCGGGACATTTGGATACGTGTTTAGACGTTCTCTCGGACGATTCTAAAAGAACTTCGCATTATCACAGTGCGGAAATAACCGTTCACTCTTGGGATTTGGGTAGTAATTTTGCAAGTCCCGAATTGACGGTCAATCAAGAAATAGCCAACACGGAAAGTTTTTATTCTTCCGGCGAAGAATTTAAAAGTGGAGGAACTTCTCCATTTTATTCTCCGAGAGGTGATTCTCCAGATTTATTACAAAGTACAAAAAATTCTAATAAAATGGACAAGGAGGTATTTTGAATTCTTATTACGTTTATTTATAGTCTGCTTTCACGTTTCCGTTTCCGTTAACAAAAAAAAAAAAATTTCTTTTTTTTTTGTATTTCAGGTATCCGCAAATATTTTGTTGGCAAAACATTGGGGACCCGAGAGGCACGTGGAAGTCGTTAGGGAACCCAATTGCAGCCTAGGAATCAGCATCGTTGGCGGGAAGGTTGATTTGTATAATGCGGGCCCAGATAGTAGTTCGGCTATTTTAGGAATATTTATTAAAAACGTACTTCCGAATAGTCCAGCTGGTATAAATGGAGAATTAAAGGTTGGTACGCCAAACACTCGTAAAAAATTTTTTTGTACAATTTAAAACTAAAATAGAAAAATTTTCCAGACTGGAGATAGAATATTGGAAGTTGATTCGATCGATTTAAGAAGTGCCAATCACGAGAAAGCCGTTGAAGTCATAAGAGGTGCCGGAAATAAAGTTAAATTTCTTGTCCAGTCATTGATTCAATGGGTGAGTCGTCAAATCGAAAAAAAATCTTTTGAAATTCCTTACTGGAAACGAATAAGAATTTTCCGAGTTCTTTTTTTTTCGTAGAATGTCGAAGGAGATTCGGATATCGCTTCGATTAGTTCCGCTCCAGCGTCTATCAATGATATTGAAATCGAACGATGTCGTCCGACGACTCCAGTAGTTACGATTTGCACTCCTGAACCGATCGTCATACAGGAAGGTTTACCAGATTTCGAAAAACAATTGGTACAAGAAAGAAAACAATCGTTATCGATGGATTCGGAAAGTGAAAAAGACACGAAATCAGAACAAACGACGAAAGTACATTTCGAAGAGAAAAGCGTAGAAGAAGATGATACGAAACACGAGGATGGTGATGATGATGATGAAAGAGAAGAAATGAAATCGGCCGACATAAGCGATGGTGGAGTCGATGATAAAGATGATGACGATGATCACGAGGATAAGAGCATTGATGATGTTGATGACAAAGAAAATGAAGAAAAAAAAGAGACTGAAAAAAGTGTTGATGAAGATGACAACGAAGAAGACGAAGAAGAAGAAGAAGAATTCGATGACGTAGGAGGAAACACGATAACACCCAAAGGAATGGAGGTACCTACCCGAGACACACAAACTCCACCCCCTCCGTTTGTTAGACGTTCGAACGTCTCAAATTTTTTTCTGAACGGTTTTAACTCATTAAAAAAATTCAAATTTCAGATAAATAAAAAAAGTGCCGGAAACGTAAAAAGAACAAAAGCGGAAAAAGAAAATGATCCGGAAGAGCCCGACGAATTCGGATATACTTCGAGTAAGTTTACGTAAAAAAAAAAAAAAAAAATTACTAATAATAATAATTTGGCATTTTTATGTTGCGTGCGTGCGTGCGCACGTGTGCGTAATTTTTTTTTTTTTTTGTTTGTTTGTTTGTTGCTCAATTTTTTCTTTCTCTTTCTCTCTCTCTTTTTTTGTTTTTAATTATTATATTCGTAACGTGTAATTTTAATTAAAAAAAACGTTTTAGTTTCTTTTTTATCGTATAGTAAACGATGAGTTTTAAACCGGAAATAGATGTTAGTTAGTTAGATATAAATATTTTTAGTTTTAGGTAGTTAAAAGTTAAATTTTAAGAAATTGATTAGAACGAAAAGTTGCGTTAGTTTTACGTTTGTTAGTTGCGTTTGTTTAGAGTTCGAAAGTAAGAAAAAAAAATGGCCGTTATGGCGCGTTCGGTCGGTTTTAAAATTTTAGTTTAGATATTTTGTTATGTTAAGAAAAGAAAAATGCTCAAATCATACGTAGGAATCGTTCGCGGCTGGAAAAATCGAAATTTTTCAGAAATTTCTGGAAAAAAAAGGAAGAGAGTGTGGGAGAATGAAAAAACAAAAATTAATTTTTTGTTTGTTTTTTTTTTTTTTTTTTGTTAAAAAATAATAATAATAATAATTTTTTTGTTTATTTATTAATATAAATAAAAATTTTTTTTCTCTCTTCTTTTAATTACTGCCTAATTTTTTTTTGCTGTTGCTGTTGTTGCTGCTGCTGCTGTCGTTGATTTTTAATTTTTTTGTTTTTTTTTTTTTGTTTTTTGATTTGGTATTTGGTTTTTTTGCTTGGCAAGTAGTTTTGCTTTTGTTTTTTTATTATTTTTTTTTTCGATTGCTTGTTAATTTTTTTTTTTTAAATAATTTATACGAGCCGCCATTTTGTATAAAATTTTCTTTTTGTTGTTGTTGTTTTTGTATTTAAAAAAGGTTTAATTACAAAGAAGATGGAGAAAAATCATCGGAGTGTATATAATATTTTCATTCAACCTGAATTAAATGGATTTAGTTAAAATAAAACGGCCCACATGAGTTTTTCTTTGTTCTATTATTATCATTATCATTATTATTATTATTATTATTGTTTATTTATTTATAACTAAAATCTAAAAATGTTTTACACGTTCGGTTTTTTAATTTTTGTTAAAATCTTTTCGGATTTTTCGCGCACCTCACTCTCAACAACAATAACAACAAAAACAACAAAAACTTTTTATTTTGTTTTGATGACGTCATAACGAATTTTTTTTGTGAAATTTTTAACAATGGGAATTACGTCATAACGTATAAAATCGTCGTAGTCGTGTTTTTTTTAGGCCATTTTGAATGAGAGTATTAATTATTTAAAAAAAATAATTTCGATTAATTTAATTAATTTTTTTTGGTGTGTCGAAAAAGGCGGTCATCAAGCCGGACGAAAGTAATAATTAAATAATTTTTATTAATTAATATGAAAAAAAAAAATTACATAACGAGATAATGATGATGATTAAGTTAAAAGCAGAAGACGGAAATAATATTTTTAAAAAAATCAGTATTATTAAAACTTTTCTCGTCACATTTTGTCTAATGCGTGACCCCTCCCTCGTCGTACGAGGGAGGGGTCACGCCCGCCTCAGGGATATGAACTTAAAGAGTTTGAAATAAAAGAAAATGGAAGAATCGGGGGAGGGGAAAAGGTTGAGGGGTAAAAAGAGGGGAAAGGTTAAAAGGTGAAAAGGTAAAAAAAAAATGAAAAAAAGGAAAAAAAATTCACACGTGAATTTGACGCGGGAAATTTTTTTTTTTTAATCAAATTAAATGAAAATAATAATAATAATAATAATAATAATAGTAGTAGTAGTAGTAGTAGTAGAAGTTTTTGAGGATACTAGCAGACGATATAATTTGTCGAGAAATTTTTTTTTATAAGGTATTTGCTTTTGTTGTATTTTAAAATTAAATTTAAAAAAAGAATCGAAGAAAGGTTTTTTTTTCTATTTTTTTTTTTTTTTTTTGTTTTGCTGTTGTTAAAATTTTTGCTTTCTTTCTTTCTTTTTCTTTCTATTTTTTTATTTATTGAATAACATCTATAAATTTTATCGTTTGCGTTTGTTTTTTTATAATTTCATTTTTAAAAAAAGAAGAAAAAAAAAAAAAAGAAAATTTTAAAAGAAAGTTTTTCCTTTTTTTTTTAATCTACTTACGTAATTTACTTATAATAAAAAAGAATAAAAACTTTTAGTTGTTAAGAAAATTTCTTAAAAAACTTTTCTTTTTTTTTTTTTTAAAAACATTTAAAAGAAGGTATTTCTCAAGTTTGTTTGTCTGTCCGATTGTTCGTTTGTTTTTTCTTCTTTTTTAACAAACAAATTTTTTTCAAGAAAAAAAAAAAAAACACGGCAACACCGTTAAATATAATAAAAAATTTTCGCGCCATTTTTTAATTTCATCGTCCATATTTAATTTGATAAAATTTTAATTAAAAATTAATCAAAATTTCATTATTATTATTATTATTATTATTATTATTATTATTATTATTAATATTAATTTTCCTTACCGGTTTCAACCCGGAGGAAGTTAAATTAAAATTTAACATTTGCTAAAAGGTTTTTTCCAAAAAAAAAGATTTTCTCGGAAAATTTTTATACTTCCTTCAACTTTTCTCTTCAACCCTTTTTCTACAACCCCTCACCCCTCCCCATTCCTTTCAACTTTTGCGTACCCGTATTTGTTTTTCTTTTTTGCGTGCGCCCGTTCGTAAATTTTCTTTCATCCGATACTCTCATCATCATCATCATCCTTATTATAATTACCCGGTTAGATTTTTTTAAGAAAAAGTGACAGAAAAAATATAAAATGAAGTGGTTTGATATGAGAAAAATAATGTTAGATTGTAATTTTTTTATGTTTTTTCGGTTTTTTACGAAATGATAATAATAGGGATTAAATAAATAAATCGCGTGACTATTATTAATTTAAAAATTTTTTTTTAATGACGTATGTTCCACGTGATTTTTTTTTCTTTTATCCAGGAACCGGAAATAATCATTATCACGACTCCAGAACCCTTTTCCAGTTCTTTATTCTTATTTTAATTTATTATTATTAACGTAACCGTCATCGTCGGCCATCAAAATTTCGTTTTTATTTTCATTTAAAAAAGGAAAACCGCAAAAAAATGGTTTGTTGTTGTTTGTTGTTGTTGTTAATAATAATAATAATACTTTTGTTATATTTTTTTCATTTTAATTATAACAAAAAAAAATTTTTTTTTCTTTCTTTTCGGATTAAAAACTTTTCTTTTATAAATTTTAAAACTTTTCTAACCGCAAAAAAAATGAAAATAATATTTTTTTGTTTTATTTTTTGAACCTTTAACGAATGTGAGAAATGAGAGAGAGAGAGAGAGAGAGTGAGAGACAAACAATGTTAGAAAGAGGCAAAAGAAGAAGGAGTTGAGGGAAGTGCAAGATAATAAAAAAAAGAAAAGAAACGAAAAACAATTTATTGATATTATTAATTTTTCGACTATAAAAATGATTAAACTGTGACGTAATATTGTTTTTCCCCCTACCTCCTTTCAAAACCTTTGACCTCCTTTCCCCCCTCTTTCCACCCCTCAAAAGTAAAAAAAAAATATTTAAAGTAAAAAAAAACCGACGGTTTTTAACCATTTCAAAAACCGATAAAAAGAAAAAAACTGTCAAGCGTTTATTTTCTCTATGATAAAATTTTCCTTATTATTATTATTATTATTATTATTATTATTATTATTAATCATTATGAAAATCGTTTAATTGTTTGTATTCATTAATAATAGTAATAATAATAATGAAAATGAAGGGAAAATTTATTCTTCGATTTTCCTGCTTTTTACTTTATATCCGATGTTTTTCCGTTTATTTTCTCTATGATTCGTCACGTTGGCTTTAGTTATTATTTAATTGTGACGTAATAAAAAATTTATTAATAATTATAAAAAATGATGTTGATTATCTAAATTTCTTTTCTTTTTTTTTTTGTTCACGGGGGGTAGGGAAGAAAGGGGAAGCGGAAATGGGAAACGATCGACGAATTGTTAATTTAAAAGAAAAGAAAAATTATTTGATTTTATGAATGATTGATTGATTGATTGATTGACTGATTATTTTTTCTTTTATCTTTTTTTTTTTTTTTTAAATAAAAAATTATAAAAAATTTTCTTTATTGTTTGAAATAAAATTTTGGACGTTATTATTTTCAATCGCGTTTATAATAATAATAATAATAATGATGATGATGATGATAATGATGATTAATAAAGTAACAAATATAATAGAATTTGAATTACGTTTTTTTTTTTTTTACGTCGACATTTAAATGAAGGGAGGGAAAAAAAAGAGAGAAGAAAAAGGATATATTAAAAATTATATATTTTGACCTTTTGACCTTTTACCCTTGAAATCTTTTCTTTTCTTTTTTTGTAATAGAACGACCGACCTTATTTCAAATCCTTACTACTAATTTACTAATTGAAAATTAAAAGAAAAAAAGTTTTTACTCACTAGAGAAAATTTTTTGGTTTTTATATCGTTTTAATTTATTTACATATATAAAATCTACGTGCGTGAATGCGTGAGTGCGTGCGTGAGTGGGTGCGTGCGATGGAGTGCGACGTACGGATTGTAAAAAAAATAAACGCGCCTATGCAACATTAACCCAAACGCGATCGAAGGAGAGAATAAAATAAAATTGAAGAGGTAAAGTTCGAGTCCGCCGATACTGGCGCTCCAGTATCCAAGTTTATGAATTGTTTGTCGATGACTGCCTCGGCTCGTTTGTCGGGATTGCAGTGTTGAGTGCAGGGCCAAGCAATTGTCGTCGTCGTCGTCGCCGTAGTCGTCGTCGTCGTCACCTGCTTGGTTTTTTTTTTTAACGAAAGTATTTCTTTTTTTTTTTTTTTTTTTTCGCTATCATTTTCTTCCTGTACTCTTCGTTATCATTATCATCATCATCGTTTTTATTTATTTATTTAGTTAAAATTATTATTATTATTATTAAAAAAAATTTTTTTTTTGTTTTTTTATCGTTATATATTGTCGTTTTTTACAAGTCGTAGTGAATTTTTTTTTAAAATTTAATTTTAATATTTTCGGTGTTGTTATAGTATTATAAAATATACGCGTAATAGTAATAATAATAATAATAATAATAAAAATAATAATAATAATAGTGAGGTTTTATTGCGTGCGAGTGTTCAGTGTTCGAGATATTTTCGTTTTCAAACGTGATTTATTTTAATTTGTGGCTGTGAATATATTCCAACTT